TGATGCATCTGTGGATGCACGACAAGGTGCGGTTGGCCTTCCTGACTATGTCCCCACACTGTCGGCCCATGTTCATCTTGGAGTCAATAATGATTCCAAGATCCCTTTCTGCCTCTGCACTGACGAGAAGGGAGCTCCCCAGCCTGTAGGTCTGCTGCTGGTTCTTCCTCCCCAGGTGCAGCACCTTGCACTTGTCAGTGTTGAAACCCATCCTGTTCTCATCTGCCCACCCCTGTAACCTGTCCAGGTCCAGCTGTATCCTGTCCCTCCCTTCTAGCATGCCCACTTCACCCCTGTTCATCTTTTATTTTTGGTATTTATCAAATTTGGACTAATTTCTTTAAAGGACCACGTGCACTTATGGAAGAAATCATCCAGCCTTTTTCAACCATCATGACACAGCACAAACAGCAGAGAGGAAACTTAAAATAGTTGGAGTGCATGCTCCCTGATTTGGGGGTTTTTTTGGTCACAGGATCAGGTAGGAACATGGGGCTGGGGTTTTGTGCTAACATTTCATCTATTTGTAAATGGGCCGTGAAAGAGTTTGTTTGAGAGGTTCTGTATTTTCTCCTTGATGAACATGACTGACATTTATGGAAATAATAATGCTCAGACCAAAATCTACAGCCTGTTCATTTACTTTTTCACAAATTATTTATATTGTTGGTGATTTACTGTTGAAATGGTGAGCAACTCAAACCTTTTATCTTCTAAAATTTTTGTCTACAAAAAGTTTTGTTTCTCTTCCTAAATAATTGGAAAATAGCAAGGAAAGTGCTGGGAAGATGCAGAGGAAGTGTGGGGAGAGGCCTTTTAGTTTTAAATGGGAAGTGAGGGTTGAGTTATGGACTGAGATGTGGAGCACAGTCCCATATATCTGCTGTTTAGTTGTCTCTCTTACTTTGGAGCTTAGCCTATTAGGAAGGCGACAGAAATGTCTGAATAGTGAAACAAGCTTTTTCTAGTGAGAGGCCATGCTTGAATATTCAATGCTCTAACTATTCTGGCACAGAGCAATTTTTCACAGCAAAGAAATAAGAGGAAAGAGCCATTCCCTCCTACAGTCCTAGTTTTGTTTGTTTCTTAATTTTGTCAAGATGTTTCTCTTTAGGCTGAAATTTCTTATCCTTGGAGTGATCCTAAGAAATAATGTTTTTAAAAGTTTCAGCAAAATTGTCATTTTTGAATGATGGACAGTTCAGTTCTTTAATTCTTCTTCCTTTTTGGTTCACAAATGCTTCAAGCAGCCATTTTTACCAAAAGTTAAGCATTGGGGTGTGATTACTTCTCGGCAAGGAACAGCTACTTAGGGAAAATAAAGCATCGTGGTCCGTCAAGGTAAGGGTAACCGTAACATCTACAGTGAAGATTAGCTGGTACATCTCATTAGTTAGACCCTCTTGTTGCTTGTAACTCTGTCAACTTTAAATTACTTGGGCTATGTCCCTTGCTATCTTGATTTTGGCCTTCCTGATTTTGTCTCTACATGCTCTTGTACTCATCCATAGTCATATAGCCAGGTCTTCAATTTTGACTCGATTGCTTACAAGCTCATAGTAAAGCCGTGGAGAGCTCCTTCCACATTTCCAGTCCTTTTTTTTCATGCCGGGCTAACATGTTCTTATGCCAGAATATGCTCTCTTTAAGGGATGACCATCTCTTCCTTTATCCTTGAACCCTGTCCACGAATTCCCTGAGTTTGCCAGCTTTCCTGAAGTCCACTTTCATAGTTTTGCTGTTCTCATTTCTTCCTTGCCCTTGGATGATATGTTCCATTTCGTGAATATTACTCGGGCTGGTTTCCACCTTTCAGATTCTCTACTGATTACTTCTCAGTAAGAACACCACCAAGAAGAGCCTCTTCCCATCGTGGGTTTCTCATCCCCAACATCATGTAAGAATTTGTGGGATCACTTGTGATCAGCTGTGTTGCTCTCCCAGATGATATCACAGTAATTTAAAGTCCTCCGCCACCAGGTCCTGTGACTTGGATATAGGACAAAACCTTTTCCACTTTTTCCCCATCCATCCTTCCTGAGCAAGCTATACCCCTCTACATCAGTCAGTCCATTGTGTGAACTCTTCCACCAAGTCTTTGTCTTTCTGATTAAAAGATAATTTTGGTTGCATATTTTGGCCTTCCAGTTCTTTATGTCCCATACTTGTTGCATTTGTTTTCTTGTCATCTCAGGTGACTCACAGACGGTCACACTAATTTCCCTCTTGTGACTTTATTTAAAGATTTTCCATATTCCCGCCCATTCCTAGTAGACCTTTAATCAGGTTGCCCTACTTTTGTCACCAGAGTAGTTCCTCCTCACCCTCATAATTTATTAATCTAATGTCTTAGAAATGTAAAGCTAGAAATGCTCTTGTTCCAAATGGTTGGATAATCTGTGAAACTTTATTTTTAAAACTCTTCCTGGCATGGGTACCTCTTTAAGGGACTGTGGAGGGAGCGATACGTATCTTGAATAGTGAATCATCTGTATAACCTGTCTGGCAGGTTATGCTCTATAATCTCATCTCTTTCTTTTGAGCCTACTGGTAGTTTGCCTTTTCACGTGTATAATGCTGACAACAAGGTTCATGCCCTCTCCTTTATATCTGCTGCCTGTTCTGATTACTGTCAGAATGTTTCTTGGACCGTGCTTTTACTAACAGTAGATGCTGGTAATGCGTGTCTTATGTAAGAGCACCTTAGTGCTATTGTTAAGACACAATTAAAGTCATGGGATTGAAGGGGAACTCCAAGACTTCTATCCAATTTGACCCGCTGCACAAGTGAAGGAATCATTACTGCCTAACGATCCAATACCAAGGCCTATCCAGCCTCCTCTTAAAAGCCCCCAATGAAGGAGATGCTATTTTTCCTCAGGTATCTTCTCTTATTCCATTGCCGTCCTGTTGCGATGGTTCGGAAGCCTTTCCTGGGATTGGATCTAGAACTGCTCTGCTATGAACTGCTGATTCTCAACCAGGATGCCATGAGATCCTTTTAAGGTGCCACAGGGTGCCGCCTAATATTAGCACCTGCACAAGACTTGCAGGATGAAACCAGAGATTTGAAAAGCAATCCATTGTGTCAACCATGCTCTGCCCTGCCGCCGTCTTTCTGAGTTCTTCGCAACACAAGAACTGCTCCGTTATTTTTCTGTAGTCAAGAATCAAATGAAAGCTAAAAGCTGGCATTTTCTGACGGGTGCCTTGAGTCTAACGAAGTTGAGAAGCACCGTCATTGCCACGTGACCTCCCCCCCGCCAGGGCAGAGCAAGATCTCCATCCCGATGGCAGCCTTTCAGATACTTGTGAGTGGGTGCGTGCCCCCCAACCTCCTTCCTGCAAACTAAAAATACCGAGTTCCTGCAGCCTCCCTCCATGTCTCTCACTCCCTGCCCTTTGCTGGCCCTCCTTTGATGTTCTCCGGTTCCTCCGCAGCAATCGGATACCGCTGCCCCTAGAAGCCTGGTCGGCAAGGAGCGGAGCAGAGCTGAGCTATCGCCTTCTGCGTCTTGCACGCGCTGCTTCTGGTCACACCATCAATGTTTAATTTGTTTTTGTGACAGCATCCCGTTGCTGACGCACGCTGGCTGCGTGATCACCAGAAACCCAGGCTCCCCCGTGCCAGCGCTGCTGCCTCTGCCCCGGGTCGGCCACCCGCAGAAACGGACGCCGTTCTCTGACCTCGGGGCGAGCGCTGAGACCAGCTCCGACCGCGGCGCTACCCGTCTCAGGCTGCTGTTCTCGCAGTCAAAACATCTTCTACGAGGATGAACGGTAGAGATCATAACCGCTCTCCTTGAAAAAGCCACGCGTGAGCAGCGTCCATTTATCACACGAACGTGAATGTGAACGTGGTTTCTGTCCGGGCGGCTCCGGGCTGCTCCCCGGGCCCAGGTGCCCGGCCGAAGTCCTGCGTCTCGCGCACCGCCGCCCTCTGTCCCGGCGCGCTGCGGGCCTCGTGTCCGCCTGCCCTCGCTCCCGGCGCGCACGGC